TTCTTGAGAGCTGGCTCGTCTGCAGGCCCTGCCACTGTGGCTGCAGCATCGGGAGCTGCTGCCTGCCGCTTGTGCTCCTAGAAGTGTCATGGTCTAGAGCATGTTTGTGAAGGCTGTCTCTAAAAATGCTTGTCTTCTGGAAAGCTCTGCTCACCTCAGACACATGCAAGTGTTCAAGATCAAGCCTTTTAAAGGTTCTTTGAGATCATAGATCTCACTTTGCAAGATTATTTTGAGTATTATGTTTATTATACTAGATTATGAAGCGCATACAACATCAGGTGGCTATTAAGTACAAGCTGAGTTCTGAGGCACATAACTGGGAGAAATTAAGCTAAAATTAGGCATCTATGCAACAGAAAAGGAGAGAATCAGGCTGTAATACCCAGAATAGACAGGGGAATTTTGTCATCTTGGAGTCATTTTTATCCTTTAATCTGCTCGCACATGAATTCTGACATATTTTCTCTAGGATCATGTATGTAAGGGATCATCTTTCTGCTGATATAAATTTGGGGACTGTCAGCCCTTTCAAGTTAGGCAGACCCTGTGAGAACTTTGCCTCCTGGGCAATTATCTCACCATTGCAACTGCAAAATACTTGTATTCTACCTAAATAGAGACTCCGTTCCCCTGTCTGTGTCTTATATCCTTCAACCAAGGAACTGGGTTCTTAAAAAATGGCTTCTAGCTTGCTCAGCAAGTTGACAGTTTTCCAGTAAAAGTATATGACTATTTTTCTTTTGAGATCTTGAGCTTATAAATTACACTCACATATTACTATACTAAGTTTACTTTCTTGGAGTCAAGCAATCTGGTAAGAATTTGTTATCAAATACTGTATTTTCACAGTAGTTATTTAAAAATATAAAATGTTCCATTAAGTTACATTTTAGATAACTGAAGTTTCCCCTTTTTTTGTTAACTATTTTTTAGTGGACATCTATGTGACATTTCTTACACAGATTGTAGAGTTGAGAGTGTGTCATTTTTTATTTTTCTTTCATGATTTTCTTTATAACTTAGATGACAAACTAGGCAGTCATAACACAGCATGTGTCTGCAAATGGGTATGGTTAGTGTCTGCATTCCAGCTGTTCTTATCTCTGTCAAGTGGGGTCGCTTCATAGCACTCCCTTGTTGTTAGCTGTCACCCTGCTGTTCTCTGGTGTACACGCAGCCCTGCCTCACCCCAGCAGTGGTCAGCTGGTTGCACTCTGGAAACCAGAGGACCCCAAAAGCCATAGAGGGGTCGCTCTGTGGACGGTGTAGTAACATTTTTACATGCTTTGTGATGTGCTTCTTGGCCAGCAGTGGTCTCAAGTTTTCCCTTTCACAGGATGGCTGAAGTTGTCTAATGCATGGCGTTTGGTTGGACGAGGAAGCATCTGTGTAATCTGGCACTTTCTGCCTGCAGACTTTCCAGGCATGTGTGGAAGCAAGAGGTTCCTGTCTTCTCTGTCCACACGGTGTGACTGTGGGTGTCCTTCTGTTGCAGAGCAGCCAGACTCAGTCGCCAACACCGCCAAAGCCTCCATCGCCAAGCTTCGAGCTGGGGCTGTCCAACTTTCCCCCACTGCCAGGAGCTGCAGGCCACCTGAAGACAGAGGACTTGTTTGAAAATAGGCTGTCTAGCTTGATAATAGGATCATCAAAAGAAAGGGTAAGGTGTATATACTGTGTCTGCTGCTGACATCTCTAAGCACTGGCTTTGTGTCAGGCCCCTTGCTGAGCTCTCGACACATTAGTTTTTGACACTCAGAAGAAGGTTAGAGGTTAAGTGACTTGCAGGGGCTCCCAGATCCAGAGTGATAAAGCCAGCATTGACCCCAGGTCCAGGCCGTCTTGTGGCCTTGCTGTCTGCTGAGGGCAGAGGTAGAAACCTGCACCATGATGTGTGGATGAACCCTTTCTCTCACCCAGAAACCAAGATTGCGTGTTCCGTGTGTTGTCATTCAGACCTGCCTTTATTTTACAAGACAGCAGAATGAAACAGAAGAGTCTGAATTATACTGGAAGTAATAAAATGCTTAGGAAGTTCCATGAGTCAAGTAGCAAGAAGCTAGAATAACCTCATTCATACCGGTGGCTTTGGGTGAAGTCTGTAGGCTGCCCACGAGGGACTCTCGCCCCGTTGCAGTGATTATCATCCCAGGAGTAGCCTGAGCTGCAGAAGGCCCCAGTGTCGTCCCAGTACTGCTGGCTCCTAATGTGCTGAGCGCCTTGGGGGCAGGAGTTGTCCTGGCCTAGGGTGAATGCACAGAGGCTCTGGAAGGTACAGAGAGTCCATTTCTTGCCCAGCTGTTGACCATGCGCACCGAGCACTCGTGGCGGCCACATTCCACGTGCCCATGGCCCCCCCATGCCCACTCTTCAGAATCACACAGCTCATGTACCACCCGTACTGCTGCCCCAGATCTGAGGATGCAGCGTGTCCCCGGCCCCGGGCCTTGGGGAAGGTGCCGTAGTGGATGTTACGAGAGCACGGTAGATGAATTTTGGCGGGGGATCTTGGGAGTCAAGCCAGGCCCCCTTCCGGGTGGTAGATCGTCATTCTCCCTGTTTCTGACCTTGGAGGTTACCTCCGCAGTCGGCGTTGATGTGACGTCGCATGTCCAATCTGGCACATTTTCCCGGCGGTTGTCAGTCTCAGGTGTCCTAGGCTCTGAGTTATTTCTGCCTTGCAGAATGGTGCTGGAGTATTGATGCACTGCGGAGGTCTTGAGTCTCAGTTGCCAAACTTGACCCTCCCCTGGGGGCTGGGTGGGAACAGGGGCCCCACCTCTGCTGCCGGGATGGCAGCTGCTGCCCACCCAGGGGGTGGTGCAATTCTGTGCAAGAGTCCTCCTGAGGAAAGACTTGCTGTTTTAGGAAGACTGAGTCCACCGCCATCGCTGCCGCTCATGGGGCTTCCTGTTGCTGCGTGGCGCTCAGGCTTCGGAGCTTCTGGGCCTGAGGAAATGCTGCAGCTCAGACCCTGTTGGGGCTTGTGAGGGACACCCCGACTCTTCCCCGAGTGCAGTCGTGTCTACGTTGATGTTGCGTCAGGACTGCCCTGTGCTGGGTTGAGATGAGCTTTCACCCAAAGGAGGCTTTTCTGGCCCACATACCTTCAAGCTCGATTCTTGCTGCCTGAGCACAGGCGTCCCCCAAGGTCCTGGTCCTCTGGTTGGAGGGGCCCTCACTTGCCTCAGGGCAAAAGTGTGAAAACGTGCCCACACCTTGCCTCCTGAAGCTTGGGCGGGTTCACCGCTGTATTTCACGCCTCCGCTTTTTTATCAGCTTTGAAAAGTAAAGCCTTTTACCAGTTATTTATTTGCTCTGCTGTCTTTTTGAAGTTACATGGCAAGTGTGTGACTACAGCCAACATAAATAGGATGGAGCACGTGTGAAACACCTGCTGCTCACGGGCTCACTGCTGGAGTGAAAACGGTTGGCTTCACTCAGTTCTTAGCCTCCTGGCCTTGGACAGTTCACTCACATGTTCTGAGCCTCAGTGTCCTCACCTGTGGGGTTGGGAATCTCACCCTACCTGCTTCCAAGGGTTGCTTGTGAATTCAGGGGAGGACAACAGTGAGTACCGGCCACAGGTGTATGCAGGTGAGGAGGTATCGCCCTTCTTTTAACTGTGCGAACGAGTCCTGTTGAGCCCTGTCAGGACGACATGCCAAGCAGATACTGGAGTGCTGGCTGCGTGCCAGGTCGTGCTAGGCCCCGAAGCACCAATGGAGTGAGGTGGGGTTGATGCCTGCTGAGTGGAGTCATGGCAACTCAAGTGCAGGAGAGGCAGGGTGTAAGAAGGACTCAGCATTTACCAGGAGGGGAGGAGTAGGTACTCTTGGGACAGAGGACAGCTTGGGGGTCTTTGGGACATTTTTGCCGGAGAAGACTGTCTTCCCCTGTCCCCCTGCTGCTGTCCCAAGACTGTTCCCCTTGGGCTGGTGGATACCTGGCTGCCAGCTCCACTCTGTCCTGGCAGAGACTGGACGAATGCTTCTTTGCCCCGTTGTAACTGTTCCGTGGATGATTTCCAGAGCCTCAACGCAGATGCCAGTATGAACACTATTCCTGTGGTGGTCCCCAGAGAGCCCTCGGTGCCGGCTTCCTGTGCTGTGTCAGCAACGTACGAGCTGCCCCCCTCCCCAGCCCACTCGCCTGAGTGAGTACTGATGTTCTGCCAGTGCTTGGGTGCCGACTGGCTTCAGTGGCCTGTGCTGGTCCGTGAGCTCACATGTTGGTGGCATTTTTACAGGGATTCCAAGGTGGTGGAAAAGCCCAGGGAAGCCCACCGCGTGGATAGACTCCCTCCTGCCCTCACTACAACCGCGTGCAAATCGGTGCAGGTGAATGGAGCTGCCACGGTGCGTCCTTCTGCCACGCGTTTTTCAATCACATCTCATTTGGTGGGGTTTTATCTGTGTCTGTGTGTGTTGCGTGTTCAGTGCAGAAGTCCCTTGATGTTTTTTAGTAGTTTCCCACTAACCACTCTGGGTAGTTCTCAGTGCCACCGTCAGAGTCATCTCAGCATCGGCGGATTGAGGCTTCTTGAGTAACGTGGCCCCCGCTCCTGCTCCTTCCCAGAATTTATGCTCCATCCAGCACTTCCTGTTCATGAGTGTCATTGTCTGACAAAGAGGTAGAAGAGCAAGCTGATAGCCCCCACCGGCCTCCAACCCCTATGTGTCTAGCAGGTCTAAATCCCGGTGACTTCCTTTCTGGTGGTCTCCCTCTTGGGTGTACTGGCCTCATTTACTCTAGTGGTATGTGTCATCCTCAGTTTGATCTCGGTTGAGCTTTTTTCCTTGATTCGGGAGGTTAAGTCCTTCTCCGGGGTTGAGTTTTAAAAAGGATTTTTTAATAGGCTAAACTTAACAATATTTTAGAATTTTTCTTTTTTTTTCTTTTTGGAGTCGGAGTCTTGCTCTGTCACCCAGGCTGGAGTGCAGAGGCATGATCATGGCTCACCGCAGCCTCGACCTCCTGGACTCGGGCAGTCCTCTTGCCCCAGGAGAAGCTGGAACTACAGGTGCACACCACCATGCCCTAGAGGTGGTGTCTCGCTGTGTTGCTCAGGCTGGTCTCAAACACCTGCGCTCAGGCAATCCTCCTGCCTTGGCTTTCTGAAGTACTGAGATTACAAGCATGAGCCACCATGCCCAACCTTCAGTTTTCTCTGCTGTTAACAGCCTTTATGCTTCCATTTACTTGAAAACCCCTACTGCACTTTCTTTGGAATTCTTTTGCTGTTCTTAAATGCACATTTCTAGTCCTCTGTAGTCTGAATTGTGTAAAACATTTTTACAGACTGTTTTTGAAATTGGCCTGTGAGGGCTGTGTTACATGTGATGGTCCAGTGCCCCTTGACACAGGGAAGGCCCCTCTGCTGTCTCAGGAGGTGCGGTGAGAGTGGGCGGTATTCTCTGGCTTCTCCGAGGCATCTGTACTGCCCAGCAGTCTGTGAGGCTGCAGGCTGCATAGCATTCAGTCAGTATTTGTCATTGCCACATGCTTTCTCATTTTGAAAACGATATTACTAGAGTATCTTGGAAAAAAAGTTGCCCTGCAGGGGAAATTAAATCATTGCATTTTATGAGCTTTCTAAAAGTTATAAACAACTGGTGAAAATAGAAACTTAGCTGCCATTGAAAACTTCCATATTTTTCTCTGAAGTGAGTTGAATTCCCCGTGATTGTCCCTGGAGATGTCATTTCATGCAGGTAACCCAGCATTTGTGTATTTCCAGGAATTGCGAAAGCCCAGCTACGCAGAAATATGTCAGAGAACAAGTAAAGAGCCTCCTTCTTCCCCTTTGCAACCCTCAAAAGAACAAAAGCCAAACACTGTCAGTTGTGGGAAGGAGGAAAAGAAGCTGGCAGAGCCCATGGAGAAATATCGGGAGCCCCCAGCCCTCAAGGCCGTGCCTGGAGCCCCCAGAGACCAGAGGCGGCAGGCGGGGGGCCGGCCCTCCCCTTCGGCCATGGGGAAGCGTCTCAGCCGGGAGCAGAGCACGCCCCCCAAGTCTCCTCAGTGAAAACTGTACGTCTGGGAGGGGTCGCAAAGAGCTGTATTAACCACAAACAAAACACTGTTCCCACTCAGTGCGAGGCCGAGTCGCTGGTTAGGAGCTTGCAGTGTCTGAGGCCCTGGGGATCCTGCAAGTTAGTTCTCTTCTGTGAGTCAGATTCTCCCCCTCTGGAAAAAAGTCTATTTTTCAGGATTTGATTAATACAAACCTTATTTTAGGTTGGTGCTTAACTGGAGGTAATACATAAGTCTGATTTTTTTTTTCCAGGATAGAAAATGCATTTATCCTAACAAATTGGTATTTTTTATTAAGCCTCCGTGTGGCTCTGAATGCAAGCCGTGTATAGTGAGTTTTTCTAACTTAAGGAGCTATGCTACTTCATTTTTTAAAAGTGACGGGTCTGCAAGAGCATATCTCTAGATGGATGAGGGCTGATGGGCCTGGCAGAGACAGGCGTGGCCTCCCTGGGAAGGGTTGGCAGTGTCAGGGCGCGGAGCCGGCCTGGAAGCCAGGCTTTTGTCTCACCGTCACAGGAGATGCATTCAGACAAGGCGAGAGAGTACTTTTTTGATCTAGTGAGCGGACAGAACCTGCTGAGGACGCCCTAGAGAGACCTGGATGCTTTGGGTTTATGTACTGCAAGCCAGCAACCAGCTTCTCACCCCAGTTTCAAGCGGCTATTATGTAATATAAATTTAAAGCACATTGTGAATAGAACCGAAATGAAAATACAAACTGTGGCCCACTGACACGTTACCAGAAGTTGTCCCGTGATGTTGTTTTGGTCTCTGTGAGCTGACGGCTGCGCCGGCTCCCGGGCGGTGCCTGCTCCATGCACATTTCTGTCCATGTCCCCAGCACTCTGGAGAGTCTACATCTCAGTCAGCCCCGTGTGGACGTCTTCCTGGACCTCTGCATCGGCACATGGATTTAAAGTGACGTAATCGTGAGAGAATGGTGTTTGTGGTTTGTCCCCCTCGTTGGCTGGTGGAGGACGAAACTTCTGCTCTTTTACCTCCAAGACGAGGGTCTCATTGATTCACTTCTAGAAGTGCTGCACTTCTGAAGAACAAGGATGCACTAAAGTTAGCAGTTTATAATAAAGTTAAATATAAATTATTTTGTTTTAAAATGCCTAAAATTTTTCTTTAAGTATTCTAAGCAGCAAACATTAAAATAAGAATATTTCCTGCTAAATGTAACCATACTGTTTATTCCACAAAATGTTATTTAATAAGAGTGAGGGTTTTTTTTAAGAAAAAATTATTTCCATCCAATATTTAAAGACTTGAATTTTATTTAAACTTGAAAATGACTTTGCCTTAACTTTTGTATAAGACAGCTTAGAGTTCATGGAGCCCAGCCCTGGGTTGGCGTGAGTGGGCCAGTTACTCAGTTACGTGTGGAGCTCTGGTCACTAGTTTCACTGAGTAAGCATACTGTCGTGCGAGACCTAGCAGTGGTTTTTGTAATAGACCTTAAAGATCTCCAACAGTTGATCTTTTTTCAGATTGTTGAAAAATCCTGTAAATGCAAATAGTTGATACTGTATTAAATACATGCACTTGGGAGTGTGCTTTGCTTGTACAGTTGTAAATAATCAGAACATATTAAAAAGGTACCCTACAGAGAAAATTCTGATAAAAATTATTGATATATTATAAATGTTGCTGTTGAGCTGGATGTAGATAAACTAAATGTTGTGATTTGAGTATTATTTTAATTTGTTGAGATTTTTTTCTTTTTCTCTTATATTGGTGTGTTGAACTGATTCTGCCTCTTTGCTACAAAAGGGAAATGGAAAGTCTTATTAAAAGCCTTCAGATGTATCCATACTCTTTAAAAAAGTATGTAAATGCATAAAGATCACATCTAATGTGAAAGAGTTTTAAAGTATAATACAGAAAGCAAAAACTGGCAGGATCTTAGGTAAAAGTAAGACATAATCTACTAATTAAAATCATCTACAGCTAAGCCTGATTTACCCTGCCAGAGGAGAACTTGCCGAGGTGTCTGGCCATTTCCTCCAGAGCAGTTGCCATTATTTAAATGTCTGGGAACACCTACAGTGCTGATGGTTTTCAAATGCCTGTTAAAGGAACATGGGAATTTATTTCTTTTAGTTGTCAGACCACTGACCAAAAGAACCAGAAACGATGGACCCTGAAGCCCTAACTGACAGCTGTCATGAAGGCTGGGAGGCGACTTAACCTCGGCCCTCGGTGGCACATCTTTGCTTGGGGGAGGGCCAGGGTGCCGACAGCCATCCAACCCCAAATCACAGCGCCCCACCACGAGCCAGTCTTCGGTTTTCAATCATGAGAAATCCCTTCTCCAAGGTGTGAGCTTGGCGGTGCCTGTCTTTGTGGCAGGAGCTGGCTGTGGTCGCCCGTGCGGTCGGCTGTAATGCAAAGTTCACCAGCGCTGGAGCACAGGCTCGGGCAGGGCCAGTCTTACTTGCACTGCTTGGGAGTTCTGCTGACTGCCTAGCTGGTCATGGGCTGTTGCATCAGGAGCCGAAATCCTGCTTGGATGGGATTTTTAGAGCATCCTTTTTAATTAAGCAAACTAGCACCCTATCCATCCCCTCTCTGATGTGACTGCAGTTTCCCACTCACGGCGGGAGGTTCTGCAGTGTGAGTTGTGACAAGCACAGACAGCTGTGTGCTGTGTCACTACGGCAGCGAGAGTAGTTTTTGGACATCTTTTTAAAAAGCGAACTCCTTTCCCCCAGTAGTATCTCAGGTTATGGAATCAGAGATACAGCAACAGCAAATGGCATTTTAACTTGCAAAATCGTGTGATGAGGCTTATCATTTGGAAACAGAGGAATAAAACCTGGCCCCGGCTCCCCAGACATGGATTTCAAGTGGAGGAATTACTCTCCGAGAGTTGGTGTCATGATGTTCCTGTCAGTCCCTCTTGTCCTTGCATCACTGCTTGTCACTAGCAGGTGGCAAAACACTTTATGTTGCTGTACTAGTCAGGATTTCTGCAGTTTATGTGTACAAACTGGTGCAGTGTGTCCAGGCGGCAGGTGATGATGGTGCATGCCCGTCTGTGTGTCCCTCTGGTGGGCTGCAGTTGTGCTGGGTGCCCCGAGGCCCGCCAGTGCAGCCGACAATCGAGGCTAGGGCACCGGCCACTGCCCGCTCCCAGGTGGGAGTGTCGTGCGGACGCTCTTGAGGGTTTTGTTTTTGTTCTACTTCTTTTCATTAAGACTGGAATCAAGCTTACATGTAAACTATTGGTAATTTAAGTTTCCTTTTGTGTCATTCAGTGTAAAACTGTCTAATTTGGAAAAAAAAATGTAGGTTATGAAAAATAAAGATTTAGGCACTGTTCAGTTTTTCTTTTGATTTTTTTTTAAATTAAAATTTTCTTTAAGAATGCATCTTTTTAAAAAAACAATTCTTGTCTATTCCCATCAGTGTACGTGAGAAAGAATCTTGGGCCTCAGCGTGTGCTGATGCAGCCTCTCCACGTGGGAGCTGGCCGCAGCGGGAGGGCTCCCCAAGGGCTAGGGGTTCGGGCTGAGCGTTAACATTATGCACGCAGTCACCGGGGGACTGTCGTCCAAGTCCAGATATACTGCAGAAACACATTTCCCTGTGTCAAGACTTTTTACTTCTCATATTAAAATGGCCATGTTTCTCCTGAGGTGTCTCCTAACATTACTTGGCATTAATGTTGGCTCTTCGTGGTGTTTCGATCACGAGGGTCTCACAAAGCAAGCAGTGGACTTATCCTCAAGTAATGGACAGATGGTCTGACTGAGACGTTTAGTGGACTGATTTTCCTCCTCTGTGAGTTGCCACTTTGTAGCTTTTCCCCATTTTTTGCTGATTACTCTTTTCTTATGGAACTGGTACTCCTTATTTGTTCTGGCTATTAATCTTTTGATATAGGTATTACGAATGTTCTCTCAATCTACTTGTTCACTTTATTTAGAGTATCTTTCATAGTGTTCAATTATTATGTGGTCAAATGTATCAGTCTTCTCCTTTGTGGTTTGAAGGTCTTGGGCGTGCTTAAGGAGGCTTTCCTTACTCCAGAGTCATATAGACAACATCGTGCGTGTGTGTGTGTTTGTTCGTTCTGAGGCAGGAACCCAGTTTTACTTTTTGCTGACTCCCCCACGTGCCTGGATTCCTATGTTGACTCTCTACTGTCTCTGTACCAGTGTCTGTGTCTGCTGATACATATACAGCTGTTCATTCACCCGTCATTCTGTATTGCTGAGAGTTTCCTTCTTGGGACGCGCCATGTTGCGATTAGCGTGCTCTTGGGGCAGGACCGGATCCTCTCTTCTGTCCTGAGCTGCTGTGGCAGCAGGACAGCTTCTTGGCTAACACATCTTAGCTCAAGGCCATGCTTGTTGAGATACACTCTCTGTGGCAGCAGTGGCCTCGGACATTGGGGAAGAAACAGGGCAAGGTATCTGAGTGGAGGTGTGAGAAGTGAGTCCCAGGGGAAGGAGGGTCAGGGCCACCCGGGAGGGTCGGACTCAAGAAAGGCCACCGTGGCAGAGGAAGCATGATCGCCGGGCATTGGGCCAGCGAGGACTCATCCCGGAAAGGAGGGTCAGCGCCACCCAAGAAGGTCGGACTCAGGAAAGGCCACCGTGGCAGAGGAGGAACGGCCGCCAGGCCCCCCCAGGGAAGGGGGTCGGCACCACCCACAGAGGGTTGGACTCAGGCAGGAAAGACCACTGCAGCAACGAGGAAGAGTGACTGCAGGCCTCGGGCCCGTGCGGACATGCCCAGGGAATGAGGGTCAGCACCACCCAAGAAAGACTCGGGGAAGATCACCGTGGCAGAGGAGGAACGGCCGCCAGGCCCCGGAGACCATGCCCAGGCGCTCAGGACGCAGCCCGGAAGGCAGAGGCCCCCTCTGTGTAGGGGCGAGGCCCCGGTTGTAGTGTCATCCAGGACGGGTCTGCCCTGGCCATTGTAGCCACCTGGCGTGGCTAGAGCTTGGTACCTGTTTACGGAATAGGGGCACACCTGCGTGGGAACGTCTGAGATGTGAAGTGGGAGGGGATGCAGGGTGTGTGCCAGCATACAGGGTGCCTGTCGGCAGCCGGTGGTGCTTCCTGGCCTGTCCCACTGTCCGCAGGAAGAGTGTTTAAGCGTGGCTGCCTCCAGCCCAGGCCTCGATGTCTGTCGAGGCTGCCGAGCATCGCTGTGACTGGACAAGTTCAGAACAGTCTGAGGGAGGATTCTTGGTCTTCAGCTGTGACTCGGCTGACCCGAGAGCTCGTCCATATTCTGAGGAAGTCAGGTGTGAAATATGATGAAAATCGGAGCACAAGCCAGGGAGGGAGGCAGGGGTTTTGTGGAGGCCTGAGGCTGGGGCAGCTGCTCATCGGATGCTTCCCTTCTGCTCCACACATGTCCTTGAAATAAACTCTTTTTACGACCTGGAATCAATCTTTGTTTGTTTGCGGTGGCCAGAAGAACTTAGACATCAATGAAACAACAGTGAAAAACATGCACTGTAAGACAGGAACTGGTGACTGACCATGAGGCTCTCCATGTCCTTGACGGGTCACTGTCTCCAGGTGTTCGGGAACGGGCAACCAGTCGCGCTGTCACCGTCTCTCAGACCCAGACCCCGGGCCGGGCAGCCTAGGTAGCGCCCTGGGGAAAGGACTGGACTGCAGTGCCATGGAGGCGGAAGGTGGCTTCTAAGCAGGACGCAGCCAGAATTGCAAGGGGGTCTCACAGCCTGATGGCCCATACACCATGGGTGGAAATGCCTGGGGACCAAGCCCACGAGAAGCAGGAGCCCCGTTTGCAGTGTTTGCCCCCGGTGGGACTGGCCTGGGTGCTCACCCAGCACGACGCCAGAGGGCACTGCAGTGGTGGTTTTGGGGCAGCCAGCTGCAGCGGTCCTAGTCCTGCCCCAGGTCAGAGTGGCGCTGTAAGTCGTGGTCCCTCTCTCTCTCCTCTTCTGCTTGCTCTGGGCCTGTTTTGCTTTCCTTGTCCTTTTTCTTGAGCGAGGAATGACTTATTGATGTAAGATATTACTTTCTAATGTGAGCATTTAGTGCTATAAATTTCCCTCAGCTGCATCCCAGTTCTGTGTATTTTCAGTTTCCTTTGAGATTTCATCTGTGACCCAGGAATATTTTTGGGTTGTGCTGTTTCCTTTCCAAGTGTTGGAGGTTTTCTTGTCTTTCTGTTAATGATCTCTAATGGGACCCTCTGAACGGACACTGGCATCAGTTCTCTGTGTGGTTAGTGTGGTGAAGTGACATCCTCTCGGTTCCGTATCCTTGCATGAAAGTGGATGTGGAAACCCCCCGCTGTCATAATAGACTTGTCTGTCTCTGTGTTTTGCTGTTTCTCTTTCCAGCTCAGTTAGGTTTTGCTCTGTGTATTTCGAAGCGCTGTTGCTTGGTACCTGCAAGTTTAGGACTGCTGTGTCTCGTTGTGTCCTTCCATAGCCTTCCTCTGGGACCCTGGCGGTTGTCTTTGGTCTGACGTCTTACTTTATTTGGTAGAGCCACTCCTGGGTTTTCTTTTTCACCCATGTGTGTGGGATGCGCTGTCTTCCATTCTCTCCCCTTCAGCCTACTCATTTCGTTCTTTCTGGAGTTGCTGGCGGACAGAACGGAGCTGGGTGGTGTTTTGCTTTGTCTTGCTTTCTTCTAGAGACAGGTTCTTGTTCTGTCACCCAGGCTGGAGTGCTGTGGCGTGATCCTGGCTCACTGTAGCCTTGAACCCTTGGGCCCAAGCAATCCTCCTGAGTAGCTGGGACGACAGGTGCCACCATGCCCGGCTAATTTGTTGTGTTTTTGTAGAAACAAGGTCTTGCTGTGATGCCCGGGATGGTCTTGAACTCCCAGACTCAAGTAGTCCTCCCACCTCAGCCTCCCAAAGAGTTGGGATTACAGGCATGAGCCTCTGCCCCTGACCAAGGGTAGTTTTAAATCCACTCTGCCAGTATCTTTTAGCTGGTGTGTATAGACCATCTACACCTGCCGTTTTGTTTGCTTCCCGCTTGCTTCCTCTGCTTCCTGTTTCTCGCCTTCCTGGGGCTTATTAGGAAGAAATAAAGGGCAGCTCTCTGCAGCAGTCAACTTGCGCTTGGCCAGCATGGCCATCTGAGCCCGTTTTCTGTTGCTTGTAACAGGGCACCTGAGGTCAGGTGCTTTGTGACGAGGAGGGTATTTCCGGAACCCTGGAGGCCGAGGGTCCCAGGCGCAGGGGCCTTCCGGCGGCGGCTCAGCAGAGCCCATGGGGGCAGGTGTCACGTGGCAAGGGCAGAGCCTGAGAGCGGAGACCTCACGTCTCCTGGAAAGCCCCCAGCTCTGCTCGCACGGTAGCCCAGTGGGCCCGCCTGTTTGTCAGGGCCCAGCCCTCTGGGCCCCGTCACTCTTAGGGCCCCACCCCCACACTGCTCCCTGGGGACAGCTCCAGCTTCAGTTCAGGGGCACACATGTTCAGGCATCCCCTGTGGTGTCCTCGGCCCCAGGTAAACCTGGACAAGTGACTTAATCTCTGAGCCTGGTTCCGTGTTCTGGCCGACTGTGGCCAGGCCAGCCTCAGGCTCCAGGGAGACGTGTGACTGTGCGGTGAGTCCCCCAGAGCCTTCCCTCCCGCTGGGCTGGCGGCGTCCAGGCTCATGGAGAAGTGTCTGGGTGGTTGGATCCCGGGCCTGGCGCTCCACGTCCGGTCTGTGATTGGTGCAGGTGGCTTTCGGGGCCTCTGGGAGCACGTGTCTCCCTGTGGCTGACTCCCTGAAAAGGCCCGCCCTCGACCCGGAACCCACAGCAGCCTCAGCAGACTCACATCAGTTTTGATCTCACCACAGGATGCCGGGACTATCTCCGCGGGAGGCGCCCGAGGCCTTGGTGAGTGCTGAGCAGGGTGGTGAGACCACAGCGGTTGGCCTCACCCTGGCAGTGTCAGTCCTCCTGCAGGTGGGGATGCTGCGGATGGCAGGTCTGCAGCAGCTGTGGGGGCACGCTGGGCCCGGTGGGCCGTAGCCCCCTGGAGCTCGGAGTCTCAGTCCTGGCAGGCAGGGGCTGCCCTCGTCTTGGGCCCTGGAGGAGCCAGGTCCTTGCACCAGGGTCACTGTGGCCAAGCAGAGTCGCTGCCGGGGCTCACACTCAGGCAGGGACCATCATGTGGGCAGGTGAGCGGCCTCCCTGGCTCCATGGCTGGCACGCCTGCCCCCAGCCTGTGGGGCCTCCACGTCTGCACCTTCCCGTCGGGCGTCTCTTCAGGCCTGCACTGAGCGCCTCATCCGTGCTGGGGACCCCAGGCGGTGCCACAGTCTCCAAGCGCAGGGGCCTATGGTCTGCCTGCAGTGGCCCGGGCTGCAGGTGGGCTCCTG